ACCCAGCTGTCTCTCCAGGCTGCAGACAGTCGCAGCTCCGGCACAGTTACGCCAAAGAAGCCGGCTGAAGGCTGGGGACGAAGCAGGGAGGAAAGGACGGAGCGAGCGAGGGGACGACGCACGGCTCGCCCGCGCGTGCAGCACAGACGTGTCAGTAAGAAGAAAAAGGAGCAACAGACACAACAGCAGCAACTCCTCGTGACCAGAGAGCGAAGCTTCACACACACACACTCTGTCGCAATGACACCGTCAGCTCTCCTCAGGCTCCGTGTGTGAGGTGACAAACGGACACACGGACCTCCAGCACCTCCTCTCGCTTCCTCCTCTTGTTTCCTCCTCTCGCTTCCTCCTCTCGCTTCCTCAGCTGTGCCTGTTTATCCGGTAACACCGCAGGACCGCAGCTGTTCTTCTTCTGCGTCTTTATTCCAGTTAATTATGCTCCGGTGTGCGCCGGCTGCGGGGAAGGCTCTGGCGGCTCCGTGTCCTTCACTGTCGGACTAACTGGCTGCTGCTTCACAGCGCAGAGGCTGGACCGCACTCAGCTCTCCCCCCTCTCTCTCTCTCTGACTCCAGCCCCCTCCTACCTCCCTCTCCCCTCTGCCGCTGAACGTGTCTCCATCCCTCCTTCAGCTCCCTCTCTGACTTTTCCGAGAGCTGAGGGTTGGAGTTTGACTCACTGATAGCAGCTGCACAGGTACCCGACCGCATCACACCCTTTTCTCTGCCTCAGAGTGTGTTTGTGCCTGAATAAAATAGAGCCACTGTGCTACAACGATGCGGTTTAGCAGTTAATTCACGGCCAGCAACTTCTGCTGAACCTCAGATGAGTTCATGCACTTCATATTAAAGATTCACAGACTTGGAGCCTCTGGGTCTGAAAATGAAGCCAAAGCATCGTAACCTGTGGTCCTTCTCGTGGACAGCAGGGGGCGACTCCTCTGGGTGCAGTCTCAGCCAGGTGTCAGTATTTACCTGATGCTTGTTCTGATGGTTGGCATGATGTTGCTGTAACTGAAGCTGGTGTTTTGAACATACGTGCACGGGGTCCTTTCTTCTTGTCCTTAGCGGGCGACCAGCGGCGGTGGTCTGCCGCGCAACCAGTACGCTGCTGTAATTCAATTC